TAAAGATCTGCGAATTCGCCGATTCGTCATTTCGCGTTAATTACCGTTTCAAAAGGAAGATATAAGGGAAGAGATTGTCAAACGGACAAGAGAAAATGCCAGTCAACGACGACGCTGACGTTTATATCGCGATCTGTTTTTCCTGCCCCAGCGTAGTGAGTTTAATTGCTTTTCTCTAGTCTACCTTGTAATTAAGCCTTCAACCATCCTCGGCAAGGCAGGGAACTAGCCAAATGCATAATGCATTTCGCAGGACTCGATGTCGGTCGTCCTTTCTTCCTGTCTCCTTTGAATCCCTCACGATTTGCCTTCATCCTCGGTTCCAGCGCGTCCTGGACTAATGGTCGAAGTTTGTCGTCGTCGTTTCGACGTAGTGCACCTTCGATTGAATTATAATTAATGCCACGCCATGCGCGACTCTCGCATTGTGAGCCAACAACGGTGAGAGAAACTTGCGCCGAGAAACGCGCGTTTCCAGTGACACAAATAATCGATTATAAAGTAATAACTTATAATTCACATTCGCGTGCGAAGTGTGTTCTCTTTCTGTAACTCTCATGGATGCAACTTTTATTCCGGGATTATAGTAATTAGTCGTACGATTCTCTCTTCGTTAGAAGATTTATTTTGGTACAATTAATATAATATGACTTATAACGAACGGGCCAGTGAAAAGAGGAGAAATTTCCACTCCGAGATATTCGTGAAAGCGCAAAGACTCGATTATGAATTAATGTAAAAGTCACGCGCTTGCGATATTTTTATTTAATTAGAAAAGTCTCTCATTAATTTTCTCACGATTTAATGTGTTTTTAAGAAAAATAAATGCTCGGTCATCAGAATTGAATTAAATGTTATGACCTATAAATTTTGATGAATTTATTTTATTATATATATATATTTTTTTTTGATACACGTACGATAATATCATTTATAAATTACTGTTATCTTTAGTGCGTGCACAAATATCGCGTATCGTGGTGGGTGTCTACAGATTTATCGCCAGGACGGTATGGATGCACGCGCGATCAACAGCTAAATTACAATTTAGTGTCTGTCTCGAGTCGCCGCAATTCACTTCGCGATATAAAGTCTCCGCGAAAATAGATTTCGAAACGAAATATTGAAAGATCTGACGTGCGTTTCTTAGAGTGAGGCACCTAAGCCTCCATCGCATTCCGCTCACGTAGCTCAAAAGTGTCGACTACCTAGAAATCCCTTCGACTTGTTACGCGTTTCTCATGCATATGCTATTCGTAGGCAGGTCTAGCTGTCTCTTCCTCTCCGCGTAAAGACGATTGACGTGTCTAAAGCTCCGGTAAAGTCTACCACGTCAGTTCCCCGTTAAATTGTTCATAAAATATTTACATTACTGTTAATCTAAATTAATTTTATTCGGTATATCGGGCGAAGGGTGTGTATTTGCATTTGAAGATGCTGGAAAAATTAAAATTTTTCCCGCAGTAAAAAATTTTATTTTGTAACAAATACGTAACCAGGTAATGTTTGTATCATTTTACGATCTTCCATTTTCATTTCGGATCCTCCGAGATAGCTTCGTAACTTATATCTGGCAAGTTTTTTTCACGAATAAAGTTTGTAAAAGTTTGCACTCATCATCGGATGCATTATGCATACTTTTTTTTTTGTAATCGATCGTTTCACGTGGCGCTTCGCGTGAAATTTTACGTCTTATTCGGTAGCGAAGCGCTTTTTACGTCGCTCAGAATGGAGAGACCGCTAACGATCCTCGACGAACGGTAATTTCTCGGTTTCGACGATGTCTTTTGTACGTAACGGGCCGCCTTATTGCGCGATAATCACATAATGGGCGCGAATTGGCTCCGTCAATTAAAGCTGGCACGAAGTCGTCATGCCTTTCTTCGCTCGATAGACAGTCACGAGGCGGAGCCGAGAGAAAATTATTTCTCTCTCATAACAGTTTTTCTTTTAAAACAGATAAGTTTGCAATAATGAAATAAGTTTTGATCAATTTTAAATTTTATCAGTTCTAAATAAGAGAAAAATAAAAAAGAGGATATTTAAAAAATTTATATTTGAAACATCTCTCTAGCGGACTCGATAGACGGAAATTCTACATTGGTTTTCGTCACCGTTAGATCGATTTGTTCTCACAATTATGTAAAGATAGTGTAACGGGTCGGGGAAAAATACGGGATCGATTTCGCGATGCTCGTGTATCGTACGCACTCGAGAATATTCAATTTTTCGGTCTGCCGCGTCGCACGATTGCCGCGCGTGAGATATAAATCGCCTCGGAAGCGCCGATACAATGTTGTATAATCAAATACGAAAATACTTCCGCGAGGTTTTCGAGTAACGATAAGAGTTACGGCGAAGGGGGCTTGACGGCGAAAATTGTTGTTGACGTAGAAAAATCGACTTTAAATTGATGGAGAAAACTACAAAGGAAATAACTCTCTCGCGCTCTTATTATTTTTCTTCCAAGTTCCACGACAGACGAAAATTGCAAGAATTAAACGTCAGAAACTTGAAATCTTTCAAGATCGATTTTTCTATCTCTCGTTCTCTTTGCTCGGGACTATTCGAATTCCATCCTGATCTCAAGATCGGCGCGTCCGAAATGATTCGCGCTCTCGTGGAACAAATTATGCGAACGTTTTAGCAAAGTGTGCGAGTACCCGCGGGCGGGTTCGGCACCCTCTGTAGTCCCGCGATCGCTTATTATCCCGCTGCGCGAGGTTGGTCACGATGATCCTTGACCGGTCTTACATCATCTTGTCTGGTTTTTCCTCGCTTTCCACCGTTGCCCGGATGCTATTATCTCGCGTTGTCGGAAAGCAATTTTCTCCGTCGCTTTCTCCAATCGCTTTTGCGGTTTCCCTTAGCTAGCCGCACGATGATTAAAGGGTCATTAAAATCGGACGACACTTGACCGTAAAATAGACGTTCCGAAAATAGTATATTGTCGAAAGATATAAAATTAAAATATATATTAATATATCATTAAAATCTGTATTTTTAAATTTTATATTATTTTCTTTAAAGTTAATTAATTTAAAGTAGATGAATAATATTATTTTGTCTATTAAAATTTAATTTATTCATGTAAAGGATTTATTAATTTAGAACTTAAAGCGCAACACTAAGATGTCGTGAATAGCTCGGAAAGCTCTTTAGCTACGAAAATAGCTTCCATTGGCTGGTAATGAAGCAGAGCGCTCTAAGTTTTGTCGATGCACTTGGAAAGTCGTGTCGCGCATAGTTAAAAGTTTGAAAGATTTTATGCGCGAAGCGTAAAGCGTGGAGTTCCGTCTGGTAGTTCAACGCTCGTCCGCCTGTTTCACTTTGAGCGTATTTTCGTGGCTGTTCGCTCGTTCATCTGCCGATAATTTAGCTTTCTGCCTCAACTTGACAAACAATATAATTGCTTTTGCCTCCGATATATTATAAATATTGAGACACAACAATTTATCTCTCATCAATTTTATTCTATTAACATGTCGTACAAATTATCCCTGTCATTTACTGTTGCTTATGTCGAACGATCTTCACGCATCGATGAAATGCGAGATACACATATAGCTACAATAAATGCATACAGCTTCAATCGAGTTTATGCACGAAACAATACGGTTTGGCCGGAATCCAGTTTACGTTGCGTAAACAAAATCGAATCTCTCGTTTGAAAATCGGGTCGCCGTATATCTCGTTACACCCACCCCTCATCCCTCCGTTCCTCTCGAAATCCAAACAACATCGCGAGGAAGGTCAGTCGGAAAACCTTTCCTGTTGTTCCGCTGTAGCCGAAAAGTCTGGCGCCGGTGCGACGGCGGTCCAACGACGTGGATGCATCCTATCCAGGAGACGAGCTTCAGTATTCGTTTCTCCACCGACGCGTTGTGCATCATCGTTCCTTCCACCTGGTCTTCGTCTCGCGACCAAGTTTTCATTCGATGACAGTTCTCATCTCGCGAAACTCACGGCATAATATTGTATTTTTATTCAAATTTTATGATTTGTTGCGCGAGCAATATGTCATTTGAAATAGATTTGAGAAAACAGCTGTAAAACGTCAATCGAATAAATAAGAGTGTATTCCCAAAAATATAAAAATAAAAGGATACACGTGTGTTTACGAAGTAATGACATCATATTAGCACGCGTCGTTTGTTTCGTAAACTGCAAAAAAAGAGTTCAACGTTCAAAGTTGTCAACATTCGGCAACGAAAGTTTTTTCTGTGACAGAGGAGAACGGGATCGAGACAAACCTTCTTAGCTCGGTACTTTTACGTTTTGCGGTAGTGTTCTGTCAGCTATCGAGCGGGGGAGCTCGTCGGGATGTTGAAGTTCCGAGTAGTATCCGGCCAACGGAAGCGCGGCGGCATGGTGAGAATCTTAAACGTCTGCGACTTAAATCTCGACGCGCGGAAAAACGTCGTCGAAAAAAGAAAAGTTAATTTTCTCCGGATTTATCTTGGGATTTATTTATGTTGTACGTGAATCGTTCGTTCAATTTCGCTATCGCAATAAGTGCGAAAGCATTTTTCCACGGAGAGAGAGACGCGATTCTTTCTTAGTTTCTCAATACGACAGATTTAATTAGACATTTTTGCGTTATGTAATATAATCGATCATTTTAAAAAAAGCATATAATCGCAAAGAAATTTATGCGTAAATATCGTAATATATTCCACGGCATTCGCTTCTCGACAAACTATTGATTTCTAATTCATTGTATTTCGATTCCATCGTGCCGTAATTTGTCGTCGCTTCGCCTGCACGGCCGCTTTCAGACAACGTCGCGTGTCGGCGTCTGGAAAGTTGCCTGTCCCCAGGCGCATCGAGAGACTGCAGTGGTTCTCAATCGTCCTCTCGTTCTGATAATTCGCTCGGCGTTTACGATCGACCAAATCGCGTCAACTCGTATTAATTTGCGTTTAATGATCTTCGCAGATTAAACTCTTACAGATAAAATTGTCAAATATTTCTAACTCCTTTGATTTTATTTGTTGCAGGTAAATCCGGGAAGCAAGGCAGCCCAGCAGGGAGTGAGAGAGGGTGATCTGATTAGTAATATTAATGGAAGGAGCACTCGAGATTTGACCAACAGCGAGGCGCACGCTCTGCTACGTAATTCCGGGGAACAGTTAAAACTCGGTCTCAATCAGTGAGTCGTTTTTTAAAGATATTAAAACTTCTTGCGAAATGACAGAAGCAAAATTAAATTATATTCTAATCGGAAATTTTATTCTTTATTTTTTTTTGTCGCAGGGAAAATATCGGCTCGCCAAAGAGAAGGATCTACAAAAGTAGTTTACAAGAGAATACCACGACCGAGATTCAGAATAGTAAGTATTCGTCGCGAAAACCGATCAGTCTCAAGTGAAGCGAGAGTTAATCGTCATTTCTGTCATTTCTGTGCCGCAGAGATCACCACAAGGACCACAACGACCACGCGCACACGGTCAGAAGCGGAGAAGAACGTTGCCAGTAAGTTTGCTATCTTCCTTCAAAATCATAAACTTTTTTATGGTACCTCAAATAAAGATAGAAATGCGTAAAATACTAACACAAAACGACGAAAGTAATCGCTTGATATATAAACATATCAATTGATAAATAATAATTAACAGATCACTTCGCCACAAAAACTTTCGCTGAACGCATAGAACGTGGCCTATGATTAATTAAATAAAATATTGAATTTACGAGCGAATTTCCAATTAATCGCGAACGGTTTGAGCAATGAGTTCACCGCATTCGGTATCGATTCCCGATTAATCTCGCACGATATCAAACATCGGCCTTATAGAGAATCCCACCGTCATTTTCCAATTAATTTTTAACGCCTAACTCGACATATTTTACGGGTATGCGACCATGATTGCTAGTTATCGAAACAAGTTCGGCGGGGGTAACATAGTTAGTTCATAGATAGAGTCGTCGGTAGATGATTATCGTGTCGACATTCTTAACAATTCACGACTCGTTCTCCGCAACGTATACGTTCGATACTCGATCGTTGTCGTTTGTAACGCGTCGAGTTATGCCGGAGGACCCAGAAATTACCCACGCATGACTGCCGGTGCTTGGTCGAGCACAATAATCCTGCCAGTTAACTGAGCATATACAATGCGCGTAGTTTAATTATCTCCGATGATCTCAATGGCGGACAATGGCGGCCTGTTCCTTTATGCGCGACAGCGGTAGAAGTTAGCCTCGGTGACATTTCGGTTGGCCGAATTAATCAAGTCGGCCTTCCGTGCATCGCCATTCATCGTTGCTTAGAGTAATTTTTTTTATGAGAAAAACAAAAATAATTTCTTTTAAAAATCGAATCGAGCGATGGAAGCAAATTTTTTTCATCAATTCAACAAGATTTTGAGACACGCATAAGTTACAAGTATGAAGATTAACTAGATTAAAACAATATCTTGAAGATTGTGAAGATCGAGAGATATCGGTTTCGAAGGCTTCTTCATCGCGCTTAATTAATCGCCGATAATTGGCCGCCCGTTTCGATCCTCGGACTCTAACCGAGGATAATGACGGGCTTAATAAGTGCAGCGTATGACGTGTACGTTGACCATAAACGGATCATCCCACCACTTTGGCCATTATTACCGGCTCTTTTCTCCAAATTGCCCTCTCGTCGTCGCGGTACAGTGCACATCCAGACGGCATACCCACGCTTCGCGTCGAGATCGCGCGCGTGTATTGTCTCACGCACACGCGACACACCTGTCCCCGGTTCGCATGTACGCTCTCATCTACGACGGTACACCTGCGACCACAACGACACGCGGCAATTCCGTGCCCGGCGCACCCTCGGCTCTCCGAGAAGGCCCTGCGTCAAGGAGGCGACCCTCTTCGTCTCCTCTTCTTCCTTTTCGAGGCCTGCGAGACCCACCTTCTCGTTCAGTATCAGGGAACGTCTTGTCGAGCGCGCCGCGCCGAGTAATCGAATTTCGAACCGCGTTCAATCGTTTGTTAGAAAAAAAGAAAGAAATTTACGCCGCCGGAAAAACGCAGAAATGTCGGATACGATCGAAAATTGGGGTCGATTACATAGTTTTTTTTTTTCTTTTAAAACGCGAGAGTGGTAAAGCGGTGATAAAAAAGTGAAGTGTGAGTATCGTTGCATAAATTTGCATAACTTTGAATCGTACGGTTTTTTTTTTAACATCTGTCGAACACGGGGAAGGGTTGAGACTCGGGGACGAAAGCTCCGAAGGGGTGAGATCGAATAATCGTGTAAAGACGGAGACCACGAAGGAGGAGGGCTCGGACTTTTGTCGAGATCGGCCGCCGGGCGAGAGTTCGAACGTGTTCGATGTCGAAACAGGGAACGGTAGGTAGCGATTAAAGTCGATTAGGGAAATTTGGTATGATGTATATATTTCGCGGGAACAGGAGTGGGAGAAAAGCATGTATATCTGCTTAAGAAATATTTATAAAATTCTCGTGGAATTTTTTTCGGACAGATATAAAAGTTATTTAAATAATGTTTAATTACTGAAATATGGGAAACTTTGCAAAAACGATGTTAATAATTTAATTACGAACTTAACGAACGTTTTGTGATAACCGAAGTTTTTTTTGTCTCAATGCAATTCGCGTTGACATCAACAGTAAGCTTCTTGTCACTGAAACTCGATCGCGCTTATAAGCCGTTCTTGCCGTAACGAATGAGACGGCGCAATTAGTAACGCGTCATTAGGTTCGCTTTTTGAGGGTCATCCGATTCTTTAAATAGAGGATGTGCTAGAGTTATAAGTGCCACATCGATGCTGTCAGTTAATAAAATCAAGCCGTATATTGTCGTTAATTATAATCTTATAATGATAAAATATAATTTAAAAACGCAAGAAAAAACACTAATTTTTCTTATATTTTTTAAAATAATGTATGTGTGCACAAACCATTATTTTTATTGGTATTTATATTATTTTTATATGAGTGATTTTAATGACATTCGTCCACGTCAATGATACTATCGCCAAACTTACAATTATCGTAACAATTTCTTGGCGATAATCTTTCATTGACATTTATATGCTGATATTACGGTCGATAAAACAATTTTCGATTTACGTCGCGAAATTCCAGTCGCTGTCTCGATTGAACAATGCGTCACCGGAAATAGCAATCTCCGTTTGTTGAGCGGGTTTGTTCGAACGGAAATTGTTTCTTTATCAGGAACAAGTCGTACGCCAGATATCTAGGACAGTTTGTTCGCGTACTTGAAAAATATCGCTCTCTACTTGAAAAAAGATCGCTCTCTTTAACCACATTGAAAGATTGATAGAGTAATGAATCAATAATGTCAAATGATCGTACATCGGCTTTAAAGAGTACAATTTGAGATTATCAGAGATATCCTAATTGTACATCTGAAATTATCATTTACGTCAAATTTTTTTGATATTAAAAAATAATTAAAAATTACGATTAAAAATGACGTACGCGAATTTCCGAGATTTTTCTACGGAAATCGCGTTCAATATAAAAATCAGATACAAGGACAAGGATCTTAGATCCGTCGAATCTACGCGAAGCGTGACGCCGGCGATCGATTATGCAACGGACGCGCAGAGTCGTCGGGCAATAAAATATGTCACGCCGACCGGATTGCGCAAGCGATGAGCGACTGCGGCGGCGATCGGATCGAAGGAAATCCCCCGCCGAGAATGACGCGAAGGGCGCAGGAGGGCAGGGCAGGGTGGCCCATGGTGGAGACGAAGATGGAAGACGTCGGATCGCGGAAACGTGGGCTTGGCACCTTTGGGGCATGACGGGGCACACCCGTCGCGCCCATCGCGCGTATTAACGCGCCCATGGCGAACGGTCCCGGCGATGGTCCCGGCTCGCTAAATGCACGTCCCCTCTAATTTTCCTCCGGGGAAAAATCCGTCACTCGTAATTTGCCCCACCGCGCAGTTTTTTATAGTAACGCGATTGTAAATTAAAAAGGATTGTTGTTTATATTAATTGTTTTGGCCGCGAACGAATGAAATCCGAGAGAGAAAAATAAATTTTTTTATGTAGAAGTTATATAAAAAACTTTATATAAAAAATTAATTTTTTTGTTTTTCTCGAATTATGGAATCATGTAATACGTCTGTAGTCATCCCGGTTTTCATCCCTCTCTATCGTGTTCGCGTCTATGGCAGCCAAATCCTGCTGTCGTAAGCTCCTTCGATTTCATTACGCAATTAATGCGATATATTTTATCGGACTCGGCGACTTTTGTTGCGTAACAGCAAGGTCGCAACTCTCTGATCTACGCAGAGCGTAGGTTTTTTTTACGATTGTATCATCCAGCTTCCGTTCCATCGGATTCCTTATTTTAGCTACATTCCCTCCTTTCGTCGGATCGAGTTACGAGCGTTGCCGAATTAAACGGGTCAACTCGCTGAAATACGAGGGGGCGCGTTTATTCGAAAAAAATACTCCGTCACTTCCGGATCTCATGCGACGCATGTGTAAGTGTGTGCGCGTTCGTGCCGTGACGCAATGAAAAGTGTGGAAAATAGATGGGTGCGCGACAGTCGCTCGACCGGCATTGTGTGCTCGGAAGGAAGTCCAACTCGGAAGCGGCGCTATTCATGAATTCAGAGGTGATTCTAGAGGGGACGTGTATACGTGTGTATGCCCCTGTGTGCGTACGCTAATGCGCGTTACAATTGTGTCCCCGTTCATAGTTTCGTGTCCGTACATGCATACTTATACTATCTTTTAAATATCCAGTACGCTTCTTCCCGCCTCTCTCTCCCTCTTCTAAAAAAAGGAATATTTTCCTTAACCGGAAATTTTTCCTAAAAATGTTGTCGAGTACTCTTATGGTATTTGACGTGTTTAAATGCAGGATGATCTATATACTTACACAAACTATGCATCTTTCATCGCGGAATAAATAAGAATTTTGAGATCGAATTCTGTGACCGTAGAAATTTCCGACACCGATGATGGGATTGAAATTCTCTCACTGTGTGCGCGCATACAAATTCACCTGGGTCGACATGTGAAGTATGTAGGTGCACGACGAAACACGTGACTCTTCACGGGTGGGGGACGCGGGCGCGTTTCACGGGTAGCGATGGGTCCACTCGTCGTATGCTCAGTGCATAATCGCGATTCACAAACCCTACAGGTCGCGGTTGTGCCACGATGATTTGCGGGTAGTTGACGTTTAACATGAGCGACGTCGTAGGGATCCTCGCCTAAATTTAACGCGCTCGTTCGTGCCTCGTGCATGCACGATGCTTCGTCGTTTCGCGAGCGGTGGTGTCGCGAATTTTTGTTGACTGACTTAATCGATAGTGCGCGAAAGACTATTAGATTTGCGTCCCAGAGATCTGTCATAAGAATATGACGTGTCGAGGAATCTGCCACTTGAAGCGTTGCAACGTAAATCGCATAGAGTGAAATTTATAATTTTTAGATTTTCTCCTCTTTCGTATATAATTTTATATTAAAAAAAAAATATTTTAACGTTTGTTGCGAGCAAAGGAGGATAATTTTTAACTTTGAATGAGACAATTTTCTGAGATTCGCGCACCGTAACATCGAACCATTTCTTTCAGATGACACAAAAGTCGAGCAGAGGTACGCCAATCAGAACGGTGCTCTGAAGAGCTGCCCGGGCGAACAACGAAGCGACATTAAGAAAGGTAAGTGGGCCTCGTTATCGACAAAAGGAAAAGATATATACTTGGGATGTTGGACTGGACCACGCTTGTTTGCATGATCACTGAAACACTGTACATATACGCGATTTTTTCTCTCTTCTTTTCTTCATTAAGCGTCATCTTGCGATTGCAACTATCTAGGACGATCTCCCTAAAAGCTTGTCGAATTGTCTCGAATGTAGGGAAGACACTCGGATCTAAAATAATATAGATAAAAGATGCAGGATACATTAAAAGTTAGTGTAGTAAATTTCCTCGAAAATTAAAAGTAAAAATATTTGAGGATTTATATATAAATCAATCCAATTATTGTCAAAGATTCTAAACTAAAAAAGAATAATTTTTGAATAATTATTAAAATATTTTAATTTTTATATCTTTTTGAAATCTTTATTTTTGAACGTTAATAAATTTGTTTGCCTACTTGGGATGTTGGACTGGACCACGCTTGTTTGCATGATCACTGAAACACTGTACATATACGCGATTTCTTCTCTCTTCTTTTCTTCATTAAGCGTTCATCTTGCGATTGCAACTATCTGGGACGATCTCCCTAAAAGCTTGTCGAATTGTCTCGAATGTAGGGAGGACACTCGGATCTAAAATAATATAGATAAAAGATGCAGGATACATTAAAAGTTAGTGTAGTAAATTTCCTCGAAAATTAAAAGTAAAAATATTTGAGGATTTATATATAAATCAATCCAATTATTGTCAAAGATTCTAAACTAAAAAAGAATAATTTTTGAATAATTATTAAAATATTTTAATTTTTATATCTTTTTGAAATCTTTATTTTTGAACGTTAATAAATTTGTTTGCCTCACAGTCCATTATTCCGCGTATTTAATAGAAATTCGTGGGAGAGATCGAAGCTATAACTTTCTGCCTAATGTAATTCTACAGTAACAGCTTTTTTTTCATATAATACTCTTAGAAACTTTAAAATTCCACTGTTTTCCTGCGCTGAGTGCAGGGAAATCGTAACGAGCCGTCGTCTTTAAACGTAAAAATAAAAAGACGCGTCAAACGTACGTGAGCGTGCGCGAGAGAAAAAAGTCCCGAGTAGAGATACGCATAGCGAATGGTTACGTGGAGGCGAAAAAACGGAGACTGCGGAGAAGCTCGGAGAAGTTACATAAAACGACCGCGACCGGGATATTTACGGAGAATCCTGCGCGAGAGAAAAAGAAAGAGATGAGGAGAGAGGAAAAGTGGGAGGAACGCGCGCTCTGAGAGTGTTTCTCCACGAATTCGCGAAACGTCGTAGGATATTACGATCTCTCGGATTACGCGACCGACGCGGAGGACATCAGCAGCGTCGGGATGCCGCAGGGTAACGCGCGCAACCGCAGCCGCGGTCGCAGGAATCGGCATCGACGAAACCATCCGTCTCTTCAGCGACCTTCGGCGAATGTGGCGGAGTCGTCGCCGAACGTCGAGCAGAGGAAATCCGAGGAACAACTACCGGCGTCCTCGAGAAACGGGGGCGACGACGACGACAACGACTCAAAGACGAACGACTCCGTTTCGGAGAATGCCATTTCGGAGAATGCCGATTCGATCGAAGGCGGATCGTTGAGTCCTCGATATCGAATCCGCCCGGACGATAGACGCAGGGTCGAGAAGATCGAACTGAAGGGGTCTCGTCCCGGGATAATCGAGATTACGACCGTCAGCAGTCTACCCCTCGAGGCGACGATCGGCCATATCGCCGGGGTGGGTATCCTGGAGACGGGAAGCGGCGACCGGACGACAGTGACGATATCGGAGCCGGTAGAATCGATACGGCCGTTTCCTGGGTGCTCGAGTACCAAGCTCTCGTCAGCGAATGGAAATCGATTGGAGATTCGGGAAGTCGACGACAGCGATACGGAGGTCGATTGCCGGCCGACGATCGTCGAATTCGAGTCTGCCGTGGAAAAGGAACCGATCGAAGGACCAAGGATTTTCGAAGAGCTCGAAGAATCCAAATCGAATGATCGAATCGGGCAGCAATTCGTGCCGCAAAAGAAGTTCTCGAGACCGGAAACGGAATTCCCGACCTCGATGTGCGCCACCGTGATGCCCAAGGATGTGGAGAGGAAGCTGCGGAACTTTATCGAGGGCCTACAACTGCCGAGCTTTTCCGAGGAAGTGACGGAGGATGATGGACGATCTCTCGAGAAAAACGTGTCTCGAAACGTTTCGACAGAGGAGAGTAAATCTGTTGAAAAAGCGGCCGTCTCATCGCGCCGGAAGATGAGGAAACGCGCGATGTCGACGGCGTCGCATTACGCCCGCAACTTCCTGGACATCATACAGGAGGAGGGCGAGAGGCTGTCGGAGGACGAGGCGCAACACATCAGGGATTTCATAAACGAGGAGATTAGCAAATATCGGCGCCAAGATAGACATTCCGCCGAGAAGGCGATGAACGATACCGAAGCAAAACAAGACGATTCTGAAAAGATCGAAAGAGCTTCCGAGAAGCTTGAATGGGATATTAAGATTAAGATTGATACGACAGAAAATGATGTTTCGGAATTGCATTCGTGCGATAAAGCGAATAATTGCGAAGAGGTCGAGCAAAATATCGAGCCGAGTTCTGTTAAAAATGTCGCAAATTCTGAAATGCAGGTAACAGAGGATATCATATCTGCTGTCAAAATAACGAACGAGACAGCGGACGCTAACAACGACAAAGATGACAAGCTATCTCATGAATCTGTGGAAATTGTGGAAACGAACGCAACGCAAGACAATTCAAGGATCGAGAATCATATCGAGATCTTGGAAAAGGATGCTAAAAACAATGTCGGCGAAGAAAGTTTGGCAAATAATAAAGAGGAAATCGTTGATGAGGAAAATGCGACGGTGAAAAGTATTGTTACAGCGAGCGACATAAGTAAAGCGGAAGACAATAAATTATTGACCGAAGTCGAGACACTTATAGAATCATCAGAGAAACGTGACGTATCACTAAAAGATTTCGCCGAAACGCGCACGGTGACCGACAATCCCAGTGTATCGCGAAAGGAGGACGAGGCTGATTCATCCTCGAGTCTTTCGGGAACGAAACGATCTCCGCCTCTTCCGCCGAGGAGATCGTCCAGTTTCGGCCACGAGCCTCAGAGACCACCGACGCTACCTGAAATAGACTATATCTCGAGCGACGCGAGCATTCATCCACTCGACGCGAATGGCGAGTCGACGAATTTACTCGCGCGGAAACGCGGGAATCGCGAAGCCGAGGCGGCAAGTGAGTCGCCGCGACGACCGGAGCTTCCTAAAACTTTCGGAAATCCCTCAACGTCAAGGAAGATTCGCAAAGGCTCTTCTTTCGGAAGATTGCATGAATCTGCTTCGATTATCGTTGACAAGAGCTGCGTAAACCAGGCGGACATTTCGAAGAGAAACGCCAAAGACGGCCGATTGATCGCGTCATCGGGTATTCGCGACGATGATCCGACATGCTTGCGCGGCGTCACGTTGGCAGACACGGTGAGCACGGAAATAACGCGTCGCGGGGAAGGGAAGCCTGCGGCGACGCTTGTTGCAGCAGCGACACATGATCGAAGCGCACCGTCGAGCCGGCAGGAGGGTGAAGCCGAGGTGCATAGGTGTCTTCCTTCGCACCGGGACAATTCGGGGAGGAAGAATTCAACGATCGATGGTTCATCGAAAGACGATAAATCAGACATCGGTCCGGATTCCTCGGCGAAGCGTGGATCGAGGATGGGTTCTTCGAGTACCAAGAATAACAAAGAAAAATCCGAACGAGAAGAGAGGAACGAGAAATCGACGTCGAGCTTCCTTCATCGCGAGCGAATAATGAAGAGCGAGAAGAAGACAGAGACGAGGATAATCGAACGACACGAGGAAAGCTCGAGCGTTAACCAGCGCGATAGCCTCCGCGATTCCAAATATTCGACGTGGGAGTCGAAGCGCGAGGAGAGGCACGAGGAAGAAACGCGCAGCTCGTCACGGCAGAGCAACGCGAGGAATTCGTCCGACGACGAGGCGAGCTCTCAAAGACTGGACGTCTCGACGAGCAAAAATCCCTCGCCCGAGGGCGACGTTCACGACTCTTCCAGCAGCACTACGTCCTTAAGCACCGTGAAGCATCGCTCACTGGAGGCATTGTTGACCGACATCAGTGCGACCGTATGCGAAACGAAGGAGAATAATTCGAAGAACGAAGCAAAAGAAGAATCCCTTCTGAAGCGAAAACTCACTCTGCTGAAGACCGCGGGAGCGAAGGTCGCCGATGAAACGTCAGCGGGGAACTTGGAATCGCCGCAGCCGGTTCCTTACTCACCCGTGGTGGATCTTTACTACGTGCCGCTAAACGACGCCGAGGTAGTCTCTCGAGATGTTCGCGAAAAAATCTCGAAGGACACGTCGCGACGACCGTCGTCCCTGCGGGAGCTCTGCGTGAAGAGGATTCTATCGATGCCGTTCGGGTCGCAGATGATCGACGAGATCACCGCGCCCAAATTGAACATCTTCGAGAGTTTGCGGACTCTGCAGAGGTTTGTGAACGACGTGCCGCGAACGAGAGCGCGTCAGCAACATAACGATAACGCCCAGCGATTAAAACCGATGCATGGAGTGAGTGATGCTCGACCACATGGACTAACGAAAATCTCGGACGGGAGCGAGCTGCCGCTTCGGCCTAACGACATTGTAAACGCTGTTTCAGACCGGGCTAGGTCGTCGACGAACATTAATATTGAGTTGTCAGAATCGGAGGGCGAAATGGAGGAACGATGGCGAGCTCTGTCCACCTCGGAGGATCCCAGGCTCCTGGTGTGCCTGTCGCCGTCGCAGCAGGCCTCGCGGGTACGCGCGAGCGCGGACACTCTTTTGGACCTTCACCGCAAGTTTCTGAACCGTTACAGCTATCGGGATGAACAACCGCGGTGCGTTCCTGTGCCACGATACCGAGTGCAGATCCATCCGACGATTACGGAGGACGATGACACGGCCTCGAAAGCGTCTTCTCGAGCGACTAATCGAGACGCCGTCGAGAGATCGAGTAGCAGGCTACTGGAGATTATCAAGGAGGAGAGGAATGGTGGAACGAAAACGATAACCGAGAACGACGCCTCGGATTTTTTAGAGCATGGCGGAGGTCAGGAAAGTCTCAAGGTCGCCCGATCGAACGACTGGTCGAATTTTGTAAGCCGCGATAATCGCCGAAGCGCCACCGCGAACGAGCTATTCTTGGCGGCGGCGAGGGGCGAGGACGGTGAATCGGGCGACGATAAGCCGAGCGGTCATGTGATGGATCGGCTTAGGATTACGACACGGTCCAATGTAGCGGAGACCGACGGACATCGTCCGTTGGCGAACGGCGCGATTATCGATCGATCGATGGACGTCGCCGGGAAGAGGACACCGCCTCTTCGAAGAACGGCCGATCCCGGCAAACACGTGAATCCGGCGCTGATTGACGACAGACTCGAGGTACCGCCGTTGCCGAAGCGCGCGGTTACGGTCGACAGATCGTGTATCGACACGACGAGCATCTTCGACCAGAATCCGCCGAGGAGTCATCTGGAGCCGCGAAAATCGCGTCACGAGACCGAGAAACTGAAGCAGGTGGCCGCCGTGGAGATTATGGATAAACTGAAGACGTTGCAGACGGAAACGTCGCGGCGACTCGACGGCGAGAGGAGAGGCTCGTTGCCGCAGGAATACTTTGTCCAGCAGCTCAAGTATATCGAGCTGTTGGAGGAGCAGCTGGAAAATGTGATACTGGCGGAGGAGGAGGAAAGGAAGGCCTTCGAGGAATTCCAAACGCATTTTCATCGTACGAAACGGGGCGATGACGCGAGGAAATCGTCCGGCGAAGAAACTGAGAAGAAAACCAACGTAAGCTTCGAACGTAAAATTCCCACCCTTCGCGTCCCGGACGGGATGACGAACGGAAAATCCGCGGAAAATGAGCAACAGAAACATTCTCGTAGCCACGAGGAGAAGCGCTTCGAAAATAATACCTGTCGAAGCGAGCCGGAAATTCAGAGGGAACAGTGGCGAGAGAAATCGCGGAATGTGGAGAAGACTCGCACGGAGACGATCGATAAAGCGGGGAGCCGACAATTTTCAAGAAAGGTATCTCACGAGAACGGCATTCACGAGGAAACCTCGGAGAGTATCGAGCGTGAGGAGTGTCACGTGATCACCCAGACGGGAAACGTGAAGAGAATATCGGAGAACGGTACATCCGAGCACCGCGAGAATAGAGTTAACGAGGATACGCGAACGGAAAAGCCAAGGAACGCTTCCGGAGTGTCTAATGAGAAAGAAACTCGGTCGTGCAAGAAGACCGTCGACGTCGCGAGAAGACCAACAACGTTGCCGACGAACGGCGAGACGTTTCGCCAACGGATGTACGACGAGTACGTCGACAAGGTGTTGGAGCGGCAGGAGCGGAAGAGCCACAAGATCGTGAAGATCAGCTCGCGCGAGGACATCGGTCGTAAAACGGACGGCGACATGAGCGCGATGGCAAGGGAGTTCATCGAGAAGGCGCGGAACCGATTGAACAAGTTCGGGATCGATCTTGACGAGAGCGGGACGGATCGCGAGGAGGACGAGGGCGACGTGATTAACGCGAAATTCCTGATCGACGGCAAGGAGCTGCAGGACGCGTCCGGCAAATTGCCGAAGCACCTGCGGGAGTTCCTGAAGCTGTCCACCATGTCCGACGACGACGAGGGCGGTGAGTGAGTTACGGCGAATGGAATGGACGATGGATTTTGCTGTGTTGCTCGTCGTATTGCGAGATATGATTGGTGGCGATTGATGGCTGCTCAGAGAGTGTCCCGTCCAAAGCCGGAACGATCCGGGTCCTGGATATGCCGAGGAGAAATGATCCTTTTGTAACAACCAACTAACGTAGCGCGCGCATCTTGTCTCGACATTTGTAGATGTCTTATGTTTGTCGTCACTAACGATGTTGATGGTATTATGCTAATTCTCTCTCTCTCTCTCTCTCTCTCTTTCTCTCTATCCGCCCGTGGTGTTGACAATACGAAGAAATTCTTGAGCGCAGGAAAGGCGAGAAATATGAATTAATTTTCAATTAATCTTGTACAAATTCGCGGCGAGCCGGGATTGACATAATTTAAAAAAATTGAACAGAAGTAATAATATCGAAGCATTTGAGATCTTTTAAAAATTTCAGAAGTTTACGTCTTCCCAATTTTCCGTGTGACAAGATCGAATTGTAAAATATAAAATACCCAGATTCTAATTCATATATAGTTGAGATTTCTCGAAAATATCAGGGATTCTTTGTCTTCGACGAACATTGCCCTTCTCAGAGCTATCGTTTCAGACGAACTTTCTCAATAAGGCAGACAAGCGGTAATGTCGAAACGGAAATCACATTATCGTAAATGCATTTTCCTAGACAACTCTCCGAAAGCGAAATTAGTTTTCGACGATAAAGCGGAAGCGCGTCGAACAACGCGAATGTATTCGCGCCGGTGTAGCTCGCGCAGCATCACAAACGCGCGGTCCAGATCGTTCCGGTTCTATTGTATAATCCGATTAATATCCCGTCTCGCAATCGATAATCGTTCCCGTGTAAATAATAAATAGCGTTGTATCGCGAGACGCACAGCTAACGCGACATTAATAAATACGTATTTACGCGCTATTTTTTATTATCGGCTCCGTCCATGCGCGTCGTGTCGTTCGGCGCAAAGCGGGATTTAATATTCTGTGACGTAAATCCGATCGACATGTGTATGTAAACGTGTGCGTGTGCGTGTGCGTGCATGCGCGAGCGTGGACATATATTTCGGCATTTATTCCGAGGCGAGATCGATTCATCAAAGCGACGCGATGGAAAATTATTGTATTAACATTCGAGCTTCGGCTACGTTCGCCGCTCTTGTTCAACGTGCGGATAATGAACCGCGACAGTTTGCGCGATAACGAATATCAACAGAGTGGCTCGGAGGCTATCAAATTGCGTCACGTCGTTTACGTCTCGATTCTCTTGAGCGGTTCGATTAGCCGCGGAATACTTAATCACGTCGCGTTATTATATCGAGTAATGTATTTCCCTATTTTTCTCCCCTCTCGAGGAATAACGATATAACGTGTAATAACGTAGTATTTCTCAAACCCCCCTCGCGGACATACAAAAAAATTCGATTATTATCGGTAATTAATTCTGGTTGACACGACGAGTTTTTTAAACATTTATTTCGACCTAGTAGAACGATATCCGCGGAAAAGTGCCGGGTCGCGATTATTGTTCCGCGCGGTCGGGTCGCGGCGGGTGTGTGATTCATGGAGGATGAAAATCTAAATATAAACCTGCGTACGCGGAGACGAGAAATAGGCCACTCGTTCGCGGGACGCGTCCGCAGTTTCGGCTCGTTGGAGAACCACCGTCTTGCGTTTTTCGGCTATTTTGAATCACTCGCGCAATGTTGGCCTACTGGTCCGCCCGTTCTGAGATCGCTGTACGAGAGATGGGCCTCTATCCGCTAAGTATTGCCTTTTGATGCATACTCTTGTTAATGAGATTGGAGAACTCTGCTTGAGAGATTCGTGAAACTTTTTGATATTGCAATATTACATTTTTCCTTTTAAAAACTGACGATTTTTATTTTATTAAGAAAGAAACCCGTAAAAAGTAAAATATATTAGCAACAACGATGACAATTAGATCCTCCCATTGATTTCGGTAATTGTCTAATGGAACTTATCGTCTTCATATTTCATCTACAAATTGCTTTTTCACATATTATTACATTGCATATATTATTGCACGCTCAATTTTTCAGTTTGTTCAGTTGATGATAAAAATACTACACGTATAAATAAATTACAATACAGCACGCGCGAATGCATGTTCAATTATTTTGACGCCGTTTAATTCTCGCAACAATAATATAAAAGTTTATATAGAGACGAGATAAAATAATAGATATTTGATACAAAAGTCATCTGTCTCCATGCAACATTGTTTAACTTTTATTGACATATTGTCAGCCCGCCTATTATTATTAACTGACTGTTGGTTATTTGTATTTCGTAAGTCTCCTTTCAACGCGGTTACCGAAGCGTTCGTTTATTTTCTATTCTAACTTTAGCATGAAAGTTTAGCCACAGCGCGCGCGTCTCGTCGAAGCTAAATGTGCGAATTTAGTCATTCGTCTATGGACACGCGAGGGGAGTTTTTTTTCTATTCTAACGCCGAGGTCGATATGTCATCCCTCTTTCTTACGAACGAATGATAAATTTTTGATTGACAGAGAGATTGCATCGAGAGATTCCTTTATCCTTCGCTCTAACACACTTACAATGCGCTCTCTGCTCGAAATTAATTTATCGTAAAATTTTCTTTTCTTCTTTTTTTTTTTTTTGGTGGATGTGGGCATGCTTTTTTAATCAAAGGGATTGGCTGCGGTAACATTGCGAAGGCAAGAGACAATGACAGCGACTGTCTGCTGCACGAGATTGACAAAGCTTTGAAAATCAGCAGGGGATTTCTACTTGAGCAAGGTGCGTTTGCAATTTCGCTTGATTACTGATAGCATGCGTTACACATATTTTCTAAGACGCGTGTGTGTATTATTTTCTAATACTCTGCGACAAAAGATTAACGTAGAAAATATGTACCAAGAGAGATCGAAAATATCTTAGATGAATCGTTAAACTATATTAAATCTTGAACGTTACTCTTACTTATTATATTATGACGGTTGAGAAGAGTTCGAACTCTCATTCATCTTCCAAGCGCAAACGTATATACATTCATATATAACCAGTCCCGCACTGGTTGGCGCGGTGGACTCGAAATTCTGTATACAACAGCTTTCGGGCGACGTCGACGTCGGCGTAGTGAGCGGCGCGGCGTCGAGCCTCATCGGCGTCGCGACGCTCCTCAGTCGATTGGCACCTACCGTGCTACTTTCTCGTACCTCGCCGAGAGGGTGTCTCGTCGAAATATCATCGCGGCGTCGCCTCGTCGTGATCGTAAAGTGATAATAATGCTGGAGAAAAGTGAGTGATCGTTTCGGGAAGGTCGAGTAGCGGGGGATAAGGACGCGATAAGACGTTCGTGAATTTCTTCAACAGGTTGTTTCCCCGCGATCGCGAAGAGAATCGGAATGCAATCGTGCCATCGAAAAGATTTATTCAAATCAGATCGTTACTCTGTAAATTGTCGAAGAAATTTAAAGGAAAAGATATGAAGAATATTTCTGGATTTAATCTGTCTCTCGCTATGTAAAAAATTTGATTTAATTTTGAGATTTCAAAAGAACGATTTTACGGAGGTTGAATAACTTGGGAACAATCTGGTTTTAGTATTTGCAGATTACTTTGATCAATTCACGAAATGCATTTGGTGCTGCTGGTATATTGTACTTAGTCTGTGAATAAATAAGGCAATCCACTTCGCTTTGTCCTTCTTTCTGCGCTCGTGGCAGTTCATCAAGATCGCTTTTATATTAATGAATCGCGACGGTCTCGTCGTGAAAGTAACTTTGAAGTGCTTTCGAGATGATATTGGATGCGCGGCGTATAATATAAGCATCGCGCAATGTTGACGTTGACCCGTGATAGGCATCGGGTTATTCCGCATTGATAGCTAGAACGGTTTAAGTTTTGAAAAGAATTCTTCTTACGAGCGCAAACAAGCGAATTAACATTACTGTAGAAAAATTAAACAAGATACTACAAGACTGAAAAACATCGCGCTAGATAAAGAAACGCAACTTTTGAAATAAAGAGAATCCGAGATACATTGGTTGACAAAATGTTGTTTCATGGTTTCAGAGAACGTTATGTTTGCGCCTACGTTTAAAGCCTCGTCAGCTAAACCAGGTAAACCTGCGCGAGGACTGTGTGAAACTAACATATGTATTTTCGTTGCGTTGAACATAAATACATTTTGCATAATGATCGAGGATATTATTTGACTTATTAATCGATATTTAATATTATTTATTGTTGATATAGTTCTCTACCGTACAATATTCGTTTATTAATATTTTGATTAAAATATTAATTATATATAATTAATTAACGTTTAATTATTTAACATTTAGAAGGTAATTAATTCACTTTTTAATTATATATCAAGTTTGAAACTCGTTATAAATGATGAATACAATATGATAAGAAAAATGAGATTGCCATTGAAAGTGTGCTTGTGTATTACGTTAACAAACCCATCCAAGTGGTGTAACAAAATTAATTACGTATAGGGTGTATCCGCATTGCGTGTGTGTGTGTGTATGTGTATATGTGTATGGAGGGACGGGGTAGCCGCGTGTGTTCTTAACGACGGCATCGTAATTAAGTTCTTGTGGCCGCTTGTGTGGCCTATATGCGTGCATGTTTCGAGTAACGTGTGTAATCTCATTTTGTAATTTCATTAAATAAAATCATAAGGCGTGTGTTAAAATGTTGACGTGTGCATTAAAATTTTAGGACATGTTATTCTCGCGGCATTAATGTTTCAGCTAATCGCACCACTGGTTGTCAGTTACAAATAACACGATCGATTCATGTTTCAAAAACGATATTTTTGACATTTCGGGCAGCCGGTGTTGCAACAGTGGCGATTAATCGTGCGGACGTCGACGCAATTAGCGAAAATATATGTATATATGCCCGTTTATACCGTAAATTAACGCGTATATCATTGATTATTGTATCTCTCTAATCAGAAAAAGATGCGACATCTCTAAATCAGTCGCAAAATTAGAAATAAAAGTATTTCGTTCTTCAAGCATGTCGATCTCTATTTTTCTTGTGTTTTTACGATCTCGAATATTTGATTCGCCGAATTCGCACGTAACACTCTGCTGACGTGTCGTGCGCAGAGTGCGTGTCGCTCCAGAAAATTGTCGCCGCGGCATTGTGTTGACGTTGATCCCGGCCAATTGTAATTATGCGTGTCTTATAATGGCCAGGACGCCCACGCGAGTTTCTAATTTTATTCCCGAATGAAATGCTCCTGATTTCCCGTTGTCGCGCGCGAGAGAAAGAGATATACGATTCAGATGCAAATTGGTCGACAAGTTCAATTCGACGAGCATACGTTGGCTGACTCATCGCGACAGCCCAAGTATCTTTATCGGGTTAATGTTGTCTCTCCATTTGACATTCGACAATCACACCGCTAATAATTCCCCATTTATGTCGCCAGCGTTACGACATAGATTCTTCCTACAGAGAGCGCGAATAACAAGTTGCTAAAATTTATTTTTATATGACAAGCTATAAAATAATAGCGCGCGGGTAAGAAAACCAACTGAAAACCATCTTTATAAATATTTTCTGCGATTTAATTTTGTTTCTAGATTCTATAAATATATGAGACAAATTAACGTAAACGTCAAGGGAGAGGCTTAATAAATCATCTACGTCAATGGATCGTTTTTAAACCGTTTTAGTCGGATTACTAATAAGTAACGATGTAGCAAAATGCGGGAAATGGCAGGGGAAAAAGATGATCCCTTATGTAATGCGCCCCCATGTGCCAAAATTAGCATCGCGCTGATATACATTTCACATGTTAGCTTTAACGCCAATCTACCAAATCCACGCGGCACCATCTGTTTCAAGAGCAAAGACCTTTCGGCGTAACGTTGTTCATTTCCTGTATCTGGGTTAATCGATATCGCAAATTATGAAACGATAAACGCATAGTCGATTTATAGCGACTAATGGATTCATCTAGTCTCTTTTCGGGACTATTATCGAGTTTGACGATAACTTGAGTGCTGATTAACCACGTGCCTCGTCGTTACTAATGCCGTATATCGATAATTGTTTTTCTCAAGAATCGAAATTCTCGTTGCCAGGCGTTTGGTCGCCAGGACAAACGCCAACTGGGAAGGAACCGAGCCCCGTTCGAACCAAGCAACCGCAGAAGAACGAGCCGATTCCGTCGGTCTGGACCCCGGCCAGCGCCGGCGCGAGCCCCGTCGCCGAGAGGAAGGAATTTCGTCCCGTGCCATTCGAGAGTCCTGTGCTGAGCCGGAAGAAGCAACCAAAGGAAGAGGTACGGTTGATTAATTATACCAAGACGACCGCTATATAAGCGCAAGAAACCGGGGACTTGCTTAGTCAGAGCATTAAATTTGATGTGCTGGAATCCAATCTGGTCAACATCATGTTTGAATAAATGAAGGATTAGAAGCAAAGAAAGTAAAAAAATTTTGTTGATGAAAAATTAGCATAAGTTTTTTTTTTTAATCATTTTGTCAAGAGTCGCAAAAGTTCAGGAAGATGCGGACTCTTATACAAAGTTCCTGTTCCAGGAGGTGCCTCCTCCACCTTGGGACAACGAAGAGGAGAAAAGGACGTTGAGTTCGCGCAGCGTTTACGAGAGTAGCAGCACCTCGCGGATCGTGAATTCGCACTCGGCACCATCCCAGGGATTAAACGCGCTCGCGTCCGCGCCGCGCTTGCCACGTGCCCAGAATCCGACCATCACGTTGCTACAGAAAGCGAGAGGTCAGCGTTTTTCACGAAAATCTCTCAATCTCTTCTCCTCGAAAGAGAAACTTCGAAGAGAGGGAACATGAACGAAGATATTAATAAATTGAAGGAATACGATTCCTTCTTTCTTTGGGAGGAATATTAAATCAATTGTAGCGTCATCGCAATTTTATTACAGAGGGACAATTGCCAAAAGGCGCGGCTTACTTGGAGGAGAGCGAGTCCGTCAATAACCGTCCTTCGAGCAACGAAAGACCGTTAATTTCGCCAGGAGAAATAAGTAAGTACTTCGATTAAATCGTACGTTGAATAATTAGACAGTATAGTATACTTATTCTTACAATTAGTATTAAGAGAAATTTAATACAACTGGAGAAATTGTCGGAAATCCAGTCGCGCACCGTTTCTGTTGTCACTCCCTATATCAAGCTAACGCTCGCTAATGAGGTGTGATAATTGTTTAACAAACATACGTGTTGATTTATCCTCCGATTGCGTACGCGAGTGCTAATGATCTCTTGTGAAATTGAATCGTTCAGTCTACACCGTGAAGAAAGAGTACGAGAGCGAGCCGGAAACAGAGAATGAACTGCCGAAGAAGATGGCCGATCTGGGCCCTCGAAAATTTGAGGGGATCGGCCCGGTGACTAAGGAGGGTATCCCTCTCGTATTGAGATCGGTAGGTCGATAAATAATTTTCATAGTGAATCAAAGATATATCGACAATTCGCGATTGTCGTGTGAAAAGAAATTATTTATATCCCAATTAAATCCTATTGCGCTAGAGAAGAAAGAAATTGCCTTATTTCGCGGCGTGCGAGAGATGCACTTTTCTCAGTACTCTCGATAAATTATTTTTAGGAAGTCAAGGAGAATAATCAAGCAAAATGGTACAAGAGAATGTACGACTCGTTACACCGCGCGGATAAAAACGGTAAGTTCTCATTGCGTGTAATTACGAGCGTTGGCCATTATGCATACGATTTGACGGGAAAAAATAATAAAACGATCGCGTACGTCTCTTTATTACGCCGTGTATACAACGCGGATTAGTATTATTGTTGTTATTATTGCTGCGGAATGGAAGAGAGGAATTTCATCTCGTTTAAATAAATACCGTGTGCCGCTTTTGAATATTAATGTTTTCCGACGCAAAAACAATTGGTCAATTAATTATTGTATAATTCCATTGCGATTTCGTGTTTTCCAGATGACTACGTGACCGTAAAATACAAATCGAGAAGAGGTGAATATGCACTTCCGCGCATGACTTGCCGCGGTGGTCGCGAATTGCGACATTGCTACTAATATTACACTGAGCGTGGGCTGGCTGCGTAACGCAGTAGCCGCTGTAGCTGCAATTTGTATAGCATCAGCGCGACTAATATCTGTAAACTAAAATGTGCAGCGAAAAAAAGAAATGACTTTGATTGCGAGATAGAATATCGCAAGAGCGAGAGAGAGGATGCTACTTTTGTAAATCGACTAAAAAAAAATGTAATAGTTACATCCAGAGATGCTTTTTACGTAACGCAAGATAACGATTGACGCTGTACATACTTACCGTTTAACAGTCGCGTTAACCGAGCGTGAAAATAATATTATAATAAACGATCTGCGACAAATATATGAATCATTATCTTGTGACTCTTTTTACCTAACATCCTGCTAACAATTAACATTTGTCTTTTTACCCGGAGCAAGATGAGAAAGATGTTCTTGCTTGGATTGCGTTAATCGATCAATTTTTATCGTTAATTTGTGTTTTAACTTGCGAGATTCTTGATTCGCGTAGACGTTTGAATCGAATGTCTCAGAATTGAAGAATCTCTCGGAAGTACGAGCTCTCGTCGAATACATTAAGCCAAATCGGGAGGGATAACTTTCCAAATTGGCGCGAGTTCTTCGTGGAAACTTTTCGAGTTGATTTGAAATTCTCACGTTCGATCTTTCCTGAACTTGGTCTTAAGATTGTTTCGCGGTACCAAGTCGATTCTCTCGCGGCAAGAAATCCTAAAGAGAAGAAATTTAATTAAAGTTTAATTGCGGATTCCGAGATTTCACATTTAATCTCAATGTCGATGAGCTCGATAATTAATTGTTAAATAATAATGTAACGATATATGTACAATATATATGCGTGTGTGTGTGTGTGTGTGCGTAACACGATATTTTGAGTGTAACATTGTAGAAACTAAACCAAGGCAAGCATTAAATTGTTTGCGCTGTTAATTGAACGTTATTTGTAGCTAGAACTAAACGAAAGAGAGCTTCGGAAAATCGACTCTCTGGGAACAGAATGCAAAAAAGCGAAACATTCTTGTTTCAGGAGGTAGATATGGATACGGAAGCAGCAGCGGATATTTGAGTGAACCGGAACCTCGCGCATACTCGGATCGATCCGTTACTCTCGATAGCCGTCGACGGCTGCGCAACAAAGAAAATGACTTCACTACGGCGACTATGCCCAGAAAGTAAGCGAGAATTTAGAAACTTTTCCCGCTTATCTTTCTCTCAGTCATCCGGGAGGATACTCGAGATCATTTATATCCCCTCTATCTTATCGCGATTTCTTTCAATTAGATTTTATTGTCTTGAAGAACTTTAACAAAAGGAGAGAAAATAAAATTCGAAAAGTACGAAGCTTCTTATACGAAAAAGAAATCTATGACAAAACAATTTATATTCTATTTTAGGAATGGGGGGCTAAAGTACTCGACGGAGATTTACAAAAATCAGCCTGGTCGCATCGAGGACTATGAACCAGGACGCTCGTCGATCGCCGAGAAGGAAGCTAAAGAGGTACGCACACGCACTTTATCGCTCGCGATTCGAGATTAGACGAATCACCTGCCTGTACCATTAAATTAAAGCGCACTTTCCCATATAACATCGAAAGATTCGTTGATAAGGCATCGCGTAGAAAATTATTAGTTTGTCGCGAAGAGTATAATAATTGATGAAACAATCGAATCTTCCAACGTTTCTCGCCCTGAGATAGCCTCGGTTAACTAATTTTTACTAGAAGATAATATTAAGATAATATTATCTATACATAATAATAGATGTACATTCCTCCGCGTAGAAAATTATTAGTTTGTCCGAAGAGTATAATAATTGATGAAACAATCAAATCTTCCAACGTTTCTCGCCCTGAGATAGCCTCGGTTAACTAATTTTTACTAGAAGATAATATTAAGATAATATTATCTATACATAATAATAGATGTACATTCCTATTTTAGAGAGAGGGATAAATAAAGAATATTAAATAAACACATTAAAAATAAAAGATGTTAGATATTGAATAAAGAAAGAAAAATTTAGTTAACCTTGGCCAAAAAATCAGTTGGTGCGAACCTAAAATTGGCCATCCATTCCTCTTGACCGCCTTTATTAGAGCATCATTATACGTCACGAAATTAATTGAAGGCGTGGTATATAACTTTGTACCGCGCGAGTGTGACAGAGATAGCAAAATATTCGCGTGGATTATTTTTTTTTTATTTTCTTATCGTGACGAAAGTATATCGCGCGCGCGGTCGCGAAAGCTTGCCCAAGGTTTACTTGAACCACACACCTGAAACATGATCGTTTGAAATGGCTTTGCTTCTAGCCAACTCTCGACGCGCGGACGAGAAGGAAGGTAATCACCGTCAGTCGAACGTGTTTAAAACGAATTGCTTTTGCAGGCCAATTTTTTTTTTCCATACGTTTCTTCCGTTTATTGACAGCTTTTCTGTTGGCGTCACGAATTAATTGATTGCGAGAGTTCTCTCTCCCGCCGCCCTCGAGGTGGCTGTGTTGCGTTTCTTTAATACATACACACATATACACAGCGCAGACATTAAGCACACGCTCGCGCAGAGTCCCTCGAGAGAGAGAGAGAAAAGCTATTAAAAATAATACGAGTTACATAAATTTTCGTTATTCTTAGTGATGAGAATTGCCTCTCGAGGCACTCTACGGTTTCACATAATACAACCCCGTTGATTTTTACACGGCTTTTGTAGCGTTGCTTGTAGTTGATCCTATGTTTAAATACTACGCCGATTTCCATCTACGATTGAGATACCAAATGATGAGCTAAAATTTTTTCTAAATCTTTTTGTAAATTATTTTTCTAAAAATTTTTAATCTGATTTCTTTGATATATCTATTATTAGCGCTAGATTGTTTAGCTCCTTCTTTATTTTAGATGGAAAATGGCGAGAAAATCCAAATGTACTGTGTTCGATTATACGTTTTTTTTTTTTCATTGAATCTCAATGTTCCGATAACTCCTTTTAGATGATGCATAGTATAACATCGTGTTTAATTCTATGATTCTAGTGGTGGGACGAGGTCATGGACATATTTGACGGGGTACGCCATTTTTATATTAATGCGTAGTTAAATAAGAACTTTCTTTTTTTTCCTCTCTTTCTATTCCCTCTTCACTCTTCCTCTCTCTCACTCTCTCTCTCTCTCTCTCTTTTTCTTTTTCTATCTGTTATCACTGGCACTCTTTCCTATGTGGTAAGACTCAATTAAAATTAACATTTTCCATTACCTCGGAATTAACCTGGTAGCTTCTTCTTATAAAGGGATCTTATAAAGAATACCTTGTTTCTACTGTAAATCTTCCCTTCCTTTTCTGTTCTGTAGATTGTAAAATCAGAATCATAAATAAGAATATATTTTGTCACGTTTTCTGTAGGAATAATATTCATCTCAATTCTTTTTCGTAAAAATTGTGCATATTACTCGTTTGACGTGATCATTAAATTTCGAGATATTTGTAATTCAATCTTTGCAGTATACAACACACGTCGTTTATAAAGTTAGTCAGCAAAGAGCAACGACTAGCTATTTTTCTCGCGCGGCTTAACGTCAAACGTGATAACTAACAGCGGCTTGTCGCGCTCCGATAATCGATGGATGCCCTTGCATGCAACCCCCTTTGGGGATTTTCCAGATCTCGCTTAAAAAATACTGCAGATCTTTTCGATATCGATAACTAAATTGAAAGATTCACGGCGAAACATTATTGGGGACGCAAAAAAAAAAAAAAAAAAAAAATGGGCGTATTGCGATAAACACGTGCATCGTGCTCCATGTGTTAACTTACGCACAGTATATCTTTTTATTGCACTAAACGTCTTCCGTCTCGAATCCCTGTCCTGCGTCGACGAATCATCCGGATCGACTGTCGTCTTCACACGATCGATGTCCCTGGTCGTGCGTGTGTGTATGTGTGTGTGCGTGCTCGTCGATGTTTGCGTGTCGTGTCCGCTCGTATGTCACCCCACACCGCTGTCCATCCCTCTCCGATGACGACGATGACGACGATGTGCCGGATGATAGTGGCTGAATGAAAACGGACGTCCTCAGCACGCGCAGGCCAGGATGGAGTCTCTACGCGGTGATGTCCGGCAGTCCCGCATCCTCAGCCTCTCCTATCGGCCGGAGGACAGTGTAAGGATACCGGCGATCAGCAACAACAGCAGCAGCAGCACGAAAAGCTCCGAGCTCGTCGGCAGCATGAGACGGCCGCGTCCGATGAACGGCGGCTCGACCGATCGGTTGATCGATCTGTCCTCAAGGTCGCGCTCGCACCGGTCCAAGACTCCGGTCCAAGATCAGTCGTCCTCGATTCCGTCGGTCGACCCGACCGATCGGTCGAACGATCGTCAGGCCGCCGCCATTGGCGACGACACCGGGGTCGGTCACATCATCCGACCCCTGGAACGCGCAGCCGCCGCCGATCCCTGCTATTGGCACGCCGCCGGCATGACGCTGGACGGGAGATCCAAGAGCTTCGTGTTGCCGGATCGTTGCCCGGCTCGCCGATCGCATCCGGTCGGGATCGAGCGATCGGCGGTATCGCCGCTTTCAGCTATCATCACGGCGATCGCGCCGAGCTCGACCGGCAACATTGGCATCCAGCAACAACAGCAGCAGCAGCAGCAGCAGCATCGTTCTCATTACGGCTACCATCATCATCCTCATCATCACGAGCATCATCATCAATCGCATCGTCACCCTCATCAAGACCAAGAGCCGCAACAGCGTCCGCCGCTCTCTTCTTCTTCTACTTCTTCTTCTTTTTCTAGCACCGATCATATCATGCTACCACCATCACCGACAACACCCTCCGTTATCACCGCGCAGTCGGCCGCCTCACGGGTTAGAACGGCTGCCACATCGTCGACAAGTAGAGTGCACGATGACGTTGTCCTCTATCTGTCTGCTCTGTCTGTCTCTATCTGGCTGTCACGTCACATCTCTCCTTTGTTCTATTTGTTGTGTCTCTTTGTTATATCTCTATGCATCTTTTGTATCTTTCATGTGCCTGTTTTATTATACACACGTACGTGTCGTTTCTCTCCGCCCCTCGTTAAAAAAACAATTTTTAATTGCGCTTTTCTCACATGTCGCGATATATCCCGAAAATACCGGAAAATATTTTAATACATTACTCGATTACGGCATGAGCAAAGTTTTTTGTTGCAAAAACAAATCACCGCTCGATGAATGTGTGGCGATGTCAATTATTTAATTTTTATTACAAGTAAATAATTAGCATATAACGATATAATTTTTTTCTGATTCATAGAATTGCTCGTATATCTCACAGACACATTTTGCATCTTATGCGGCTGTTTTTATATTTGCCAATCTCATACTTTGATATTTATACATTGTACACTTGTTTCCTTCTCATTTACATTTCCCATTCCTCTGGATAATATCTCATTAGCTTAATCCTCGCGCTTATATCTCTTTATATCCCGGCTTAGCATTACACGATTGCGGCATGATCTGCTCGATATTATTGCTCGTGCAATTGCCGATCGAAAGCACCGGCTATCGAATCCGATAATCGTATCTCTCGCGTTGTGATAAATTCGCGGAGTAGCATATGCGTAGCATGTTTCGTAGACGATAAGTGGCAATCGATGACGACGTTATCAAGGTAACGATAACAGTAACGATCCTTTCTCTCTCTTTCCAGCCTTTCGATCAGCGTAGCCACGCACGGGTCGCGGCCAAGCCGTATATAACTCAGTAAGTAACTTAATCCGATTAATTTTGATTTGCACGATATGCTCCCTATAATGCATTCTGATGCCTCTTACCGGTGTTTTTCAATTGCAAAGTGCTCTCAAAGAGTCAGGATACGAAAGCGACTCGACGTTGGTGTTTCGTCGAAAGGAGGACATTAATCCACTCAGTCTTTTGGAACAGAGACTGGCGTACAAGACGGTACAGAGCGGTGGTGACGTACCCCTCCATGGGCTTCGCAAGCCAGCCCCGGAACGTCCGAAGGGTGAGTCGTTTCGACCCTTAAGCTATGAGTTTTGATTTGTTCCGTTTTTTTATTCTTTTCATTTATCTTGATACGCTCTATCCTTCCTTAATCAAGCACGCTGATCGACATCGGCCAGGTTTTTTACTCTGGCATGCCGGGTATATGTTTCAAATGTTGCTTGCAATGTGTGTGCGTTTTATTAATTATTATTGTGTTTTCTAATCCACGCATGCGTCTCGATACTTCGAATGATGTCAAAAATTATTTTACACCATTATAATTCTTAGAGAAAATTATTATTATAATTGATTCCTTTTTTTTATAATCACGCATTTAGTATTATTTATGGAGTATGGTACGCTCGATATTTTCCGAGTTTGGATGCATTGATGAGAATTGAGACGATTTTTTTGTAATGATTTTAAGTCTCGATTTTGCAGCGCTGATTTGTGCTGAAAAGCGCGAAGCATGACGTGTGAGTAATGCGCTGAAACACACAGCTTGGCACATACGAATCTCCTCCAATATGTATCTTTCCGTGGACGGTTGCATCAACGTCGGGTTAATACTAATCTCGATTAATTAGGCTGAGGAGGTGCGGCAGCGAGACAATGAACGTGTCCAAGTTTGCCGGATAGATCGGCTATTATAGTATCTCGCCGACAAACTTACCGAGGACGAACTTGACTCTGATATCGATTAATTAATTAATCAACTCGCATATCGACCTCCATCAGCCTAAAACTTTCCTTCCCCGATCACGTCATAGCGAAGCTACGATCTAGATAGGGACAGGTAATCGATAATCGGTGTTAGTTAACCGACGTTGGTGCAATCTCGGCCTCGGGCGTTTCCACCTAAGTTTAAATATGGCACAGCTCTCCTCTCGAGATAGTCTATCGATATTGGTGCGCGAGTCGGTTCTTTTATAAGCTCCTTTTTTGCATCTTCTTTTATAAGTAAGCGCACCGCCAGTCGCAGTAACACCACGACGCGAAGAGCCGCGAATCTCGCATTGGCACGCAAGTTTGGTGCCACCGGCTTAGCCTTGAGCGAGACAACCTTAGACGACTTGATTTCTTGGTGGCAGGGTATAAAAGGCAAAAATGGCTAACAGTTCAGTTGCACGAGAACGCGAAACGACCCGAAACTTTGTCCACAGACGACTCCGAGATCGAGTATTTCCCGATCTCGCCGACCTTGACGAGGATTCGCGTGCATCGGAGAAGCGCCTCGAGTACATCGACCTTCTTCTCCTCGTTCTCGCAGACACTTCGATCGGTACCGTTCTCGGCTGCCTCAAGAACGACGCCGGTCATGAGAGCTTCTCCTCATAGCTCTCCGTCGCGAGCAATGTCGGCGTCGAGACCGCCTTCGCCGCCCCGAAGAAAGTCCTCGCGCCACAGCAGAACTCTGAAGCTATACTCGGAGAGCACGCGGCTGATCGATTGCTCGCATTCTTCGTCGAAACCCCGGCACGAACAGTGTTTCGCACGCGCCGACAGTGTGACGAGTATCAGATCGCTGAGGGAAAAATTCTGTAGCAATCTCGAGCGGCATCGACGAAATCGTGAGCAGTTTCACAGCGCGATTATTACGCGTACATCCTCAAGCAGCCCAGTCACTTCAAAGACCACCAAAACGTCCGGTTTTTTCTCCAATTCCTTCAACAAGAGAAAGTCGGATCCCTGCCTGTCACACACTCAATTTGAAGGAAGCAAAAAATTAAACTTGCCGTCAAGCACTACGAGAAGTTACATTTGTTCCTTAGTATCGCCGAGGACCATACGAGAATCTTCCACGAAGATTGATAAACTTGCAACGGTAAAAGTACCATCGAGATACACTTCTGTGACCAAAGAACGACAGAGATCTCCGGAAAGGAGCCAAATTGGCACGAGATCGGATCATCCTTTATCAAGTGAAAAGAAGAGAGAAAAGCTTCGTCTGACGAAGAAGGAGCAGGAGCAGTCGTGCAGGAGGCTGAGCAAATCACCGGCAGAAATCTCCTCGCCAGTAGAGGCCAGGAAAGCTTTGCAGAAGCAAAAAGAGAAGGAAGCGAGAGACGTGCAGACTAGAGTGCTTTCGTCAGGCACAGTGGTAAAGAGCTCGACGATTCCGTATGGTTCATCGAGTAAACAGAAGCGTTCAGTAGACAAATCTCTTAAGATCGTCGTGGCGGTCTCGCCCAAGGGACAGGAATTATTGCGAAAGACGTCTGAACAATCTGCATCGACGAGAAAGACATCGAGTTCTCAGCTGAAATCTCCCCCGAAAAGCACGTCGTCGCAGATTGCTAAAAAGATCCTGTCGGAACCGAAAAAGACAAAGATTATCGCGAAGCCGCCGGAGAAACTGCTCGTCAGTAAGGAGTCCTTACGCTCGGTGTCTTCGTCCTGTTCCGAGGTGAATAGTGAGATAAGCAGGAGGAAGCGACCTCGTGAGAAACCACAGACGATCGTCAGGACTCCGGTTAAAAAACCGGAAACGATACGCGTGGGCGTAAACGGCAACAGGAAAAAGATGGAAGCCAGGAAAAAAACGCAAAAAGACAAGAATAGCGACCAAGTGGATGCGAGCACGTCCTTGAACGGCTGGAGAGAATTGGCCGAAAAGGAGGATATTAAGTTGCTGAGGAGGGTGGAAAAAATGGTGCCGACCGTCGAGCAGGAGTCTTCCAAGGATCAGATCGTTCCTTTGACCGTGGAGGAAATTAAGCGGCACCAGGAGGCGACGCGTACCGACACCTTCTTCCAGAATCTCTTCCTACGAAATAGCTCGTCGACCGTACAATCTCACGCAACCGCGAGAAAATCCCTTGTCGGCGAGCGCGCAAAGATGTTTCAGGACATTGCGAGAGAGAGCTTCAAGTCGGAGCCGTCTCTAAAATCCTTGAGCGTTTACCTGGCGCACAAGCGACCAGTTTCGAATTCAAAGTTTAAGAACTGGGAGCGCGAGAGCGTC